GCCCTTGTCAGGAAGGGACGCAAAGCCGGCCACGCCATTTGTCACTCCGTCGTCGTCAGCGCCTGTAATTACAACCTCCGAGAACCTTCCTCTCACTTTCCTAAGTATGAATACGCCGGGAGGTACCAGCACGTGGCCACCCAACGCCACAGCCCTTCCAGCCAAGTGAGGCCACGGCGGCCATGGTGGACGGGCAGGAACTCTCCGTGGCTTTATCTGCATGCCCTGACCGGCCCAGTTCCCCTCCATGCCTTCATTATGTTTCAGATATTTTGAATTTGAAAGCCCTTGAACGTATTTGGTTAGGCAAAGTCTCTCTGCCCCTTAGCCTTTCATTTGAGTGGATTTTACAGGGAATTATGATTCACATGTTTTTAATTTCCTTATTCTTGCTGAAACTTACCTGAAGGCTGCCTTGTGATAGTAACAGCTATCTGATGTCCAAAGGTTTGGAACTCTAAACATTTTCCCAAAGTCAGGACCTTCTATTTGTAAAGCACCTGGCTGCAAACCCTACACGTCAACCCTGCGCCACAGGGGCAGTGACAGTGTGGATGAGCAAATGCCATCACCACGAACACTGGTCCCTGAGCCGCTGAGAGCGGGGACCAGGAGGGAAGGTGAGGCAGACACCGGACGCAACTCTGCAGGCGGGCCCAGTGGGAAAGAGACCGAACCATGGCTGTTTTTTCTTGTTTATTTTATTTTATTTTATTTTTAGTTTTTGCTAAAGGGTGCATGTATTTGTCAGAGAGAGAGACACAGAGAAAGTGAAAACAGGAAAATGAGGAATCACCCTCCAGGGGACATGGCCATGCTGCAATCCCTTCTCTGTTCTCCTCTTGGAATTTTGAGTGCACATGCACAAGCAATGTATTCCTTATGCCTGATCTGGGACTTGAACCACACAGCATGTGGGATCCCACTGCATTAACTAACATGGCCCCCACTGACCTGACGAGGCAGTCTGAGCAGCCCCGAGTGTGAGCAGGTGACCACAGCCCAGGACCAGGCATGCAGCTGGCCGCCGTCCCCTGCTCTGTGCTCCAGCCCTCCCCAGAATACAGGTTGGGGTGAAGGGGGCTGCAGGGCAAGGTTCCAGTGCATGGGGCTCTAGACAGGTCTCCCCTCCTCCCTCCCAGTGAGTCCTGAAGCAAAGCACCCCCAGGAATGGCTTCTTGAGGCCTCCCTCCTCCCTGTCCTCACCTGGGACTCCTTAGGAGGATGAGGCTCCAAGACAAAAACCCAGGGGCTGCATTGGTACCCCACTCTGCCTCCCGGCTCCTCTGCGGAATCCCTTCTCTGTTCTCCTCTTGGAATTTTGAGTGCACATGCACAAGCAATGTATTCCTTATGCCTGATCTGGGACTTGAACCACACAGCATGTGGGATCCCACTGCATTAACTAACATGGCCCCCACTGACCTGACGAGGCAGTCTGAGCAGCCCCGAGTGTGAGCAGGTGACCACAGCCCAGGACCAGGCATGCAGCTGGCCGCCGTCCCCTGCTCTGTGCTCCAGCCCTCCCCAGAATACAGGTTGGGGTGAAGGGGGCTGCAGGGCAAGGTTCCAGTGCATGGGGCTCTAGACAGGTCTCCCCTCCTCCCTCCCAGTGAGTCCTGAAGCAAAGCACCCCCAGGAATGGCTTCTTGAGGCCTCCCTCCTCCCTGTCCTCACCTGGGACTCCTTAGGAGGATGAGGCTCCAAGACAAAAACCCAGGGGCTGCATTGGTACCCCACTCTGCCTCCCGGCTCCTCTGTGGATGAGCCGATCAGCTGTGAAGACGTGCGAGCAGGTGTCTGCGTCCCACCGGCAGTGCAGTCTTGCTGCCGCCGTCTCAGAGGGAGGGCCTGCCCTAGAGGGAGGGTGCCCATCCATGCTGGAAGAGGCGTAGGAGGCAGGGTCTCGACCCAAGCCAGGGCTGGGTGGCTGGCACCCAGAAGACAGTGCTCCTAGAGGAGCAAAGGCCACTAGGGTCCGGGTCCACTCTGGCCACACGGGCCTCACCTGCTGCCCTGAAGGTCCCTGGTCCCCTGGGTCCACTCTGGGCTCTCACCTGCTGCCCTGAAGGTCCCCTGGGTCAGGGTCCACTCTGGGCTTTCACCTGCTGCCCTGAAGGTCATCATCATCCCCATCATCACCACCACCATCATCCACATCACCATCATCCTCACCTCCACCATCCACACCATGACTTTCCCCACCCTACCCCCATAGATCATGGCACATCTCTGCCCTATACGAGAAGGTTGACTTGGGAACTGGCCTGATCTTTCCAATGGCTTGGCTAGTGGGCCTAAAGTTGAATTTTTAAGGTGACATAGTAGAGTTGCCTGAAGAAATAATGAAATAAAGAGGGTTCTTGCCTAGGGTTCCTTTTTCATATCACTGTCGTGAAGCTATGACAACAGATGGGCAGGACAGCATTCAGGATGTCCAACTCACAAGCATGGTGACCAACATTGAAATCTAGAGGTTTCCGTAACTTTTGCAGAAGGCAGCAAGTCCAGCAGCAGTTGAGTTGGTGAGGGACATACAGAAGGGGCACGGGTTCCCAGAGGACTTCAAATTGCCTGAAAAGTGACTCTTTAGGGCCTCAGTGCATTTGGAGGAGCTGCCTCAGGGCTGCCCCAGAAGAGGAGCCTTCACTGGATGAAGCATAAGCAGAAACATTGTGTGTGTGTGTGGGGGCGGTTTCTTCCCTTCTTCTCCTCTTCTTCTCCCTTCTGCTCCTCCCACCCCTTCTTTGCCAGGACCACCTCCACCATCCTCACCATCATCACCATCACCATCCTCACCAGCACCATCACCATCACTAACCGCACCACCGCCATCATCACCCATATCACCACCATCACCATCAGCACCATTACCACCAGCACCGCCGTCACCCTCGTCTCCCTATCACCACCAGCACCAGCACCGCCATCACAGGCTTCCAAGCTTGGCTCACAGTCTGTCTCTGCGATGTGCACAATTTCCGACCGTCAGTCACTTCTGCACACCACCCCCAAAGGCTGACGTCTTCCGTTCTGATCATTTGAGAGGAATGTGGGTGCGATATTTATGTGCCTGGTTTATGAGTGAGTCCGCACGTTTCTAAAAGCCAGTTCCCACCGGGGCATTGGCAAGAGTGCAGGAAGGCCGTCAAGCCCAAGAGCAGGGCGGGCGGGGAGGGGAGGAAGGCACCCTCACTGGGACCAGCCCTGTGGTGGCCCAGCTCTTCCAGATGTCCGAGCAAGTTGCCCTCTGAGCGCTCAGGCCCGTGCAGGTCCACCTTCTCCAGAGGCATCTCCTGGGGGCTGTTTCCCGCCCAGCTCCGCACACAGAGCTGGCTCTGCTGCATGGCACCCTCAGCCTGGGGTCGCTCTGGTCTGAGCAGAAAGGAGACGGCAGGTGTGACGGAGGGCTTATCAGGAGGGACCAGATGATTCTGAATGAAGTAGGGCCTCGGAGGTGAGCAGCCTGATGCTGGCCGAGGGGCTGGGGGTGGAGGGGGAACAGCTGTCCCAAGGCTTCCAGGATGTGACTCACATATAACATTCACACTGGGTGTTCTCCGTGTAGCACACACGGTGCCCAGCGCCACCAGGCTCCTGTGCGGGCCACGCACGTCTCCTCCTGCAGTCTCGCCCAGGGACTGCAGGCCGCCTCCACCCCGGCCTCGGAGGGGATGGAGCACAGCCTGGCTGAGCTTGCACCGAGGGACAGGGCCAGGGCTCAGATTCTGGGCCAGGCCCTGCTCTCCCTCCCCATGGGCAGGCAGGCTCAGAACAAGTACCTATGAGGTTCGCATTGACATTCAGGGGCAATCAAGACACTAGACAGAGCCTGGGCAGCGTATTTTATTGTAATCTAAGAAAAACGATTAAATCCAAAGTTCAGAACCATGGAAGACCATCCAAAATGCAGGCCCTAACTGTGTCACACAGAGCTGGCGCACACGTGGCTCACACCTACAGGCGGGTATGCAGGAAGCCTCGACCACATCGTGTGTCCACGGACAGCACTACGTGGCCTGGTGGTGTGGGCTAGGGCCTGGCCCCAGCTCACTGTCCTCTGAGGGCTCCATGAGTCCCACGTGTGGTGCCCGCCCTGGGCCCAGGCCTGGCTGAGCCTCGGCCAGCCCTGCTCACGGTCTGGCATGCCCCCGACCCTGGTGTCCTCAGTATCCGTGGACGGGTCTCCTGCTGGCAAGTCCTCACACCCTCGTGGGACTTGGGAGGGACAGAACCAGGGACACAAGCGCATCTCTGAGTGCCAGGCACACCTGTCGTGGTCACGCCTCCTTGAAGGAGGCAGGGAGGCAGTTCATAATTTGTCAGGCAAAGATGGCGCTTTCCGATGGCCCCGGGGCCCACAGTGGACCGGGTCATGGCCACGTGTTGGGGAAGAGCTGGAGCCCGGCTTGGCCTGTCACCTTTGCGGGTGGGCCCCTTCTCGACCGCCTCCGGCACCAGGGACAGTTCTGTGGCGAGTTAGCACAGTTAACCTAGGTCAAGGCGCGACTCCGGCAGAAGCTTGACCTGGAAGAGCAGGTGTCTGAACCAACCGTCCCGGCGAAGGCGTTGGTGGCTTCGGTCCTGGGGGCCCCGCTTGCATCTACCCGGCACTGCAGGGGCTGCACGACCCCGTGTGTGGGCCCCTGCAGAGCATGGCACATCTCATGAGATCCGGGGACACGGCCCCTCAGGAAGGCGGCGCGGTGGGGCTGGCCGGACGCCACTGACCTCCCGGAAACGGCTCAGCGAGGCCAGTGGCTGCACAGCGGGGCGGTCACTGAGGCGCCCACAGCCCATGTGGGAGGGCAAGGACTCTGCCTCACCAGGTTCAGAGCTTGTCCCCACGCACAGGTCAAAGGTCGGAAGGAACACATACATTGTATGTGATTAATTTTCTGAAGCCAGCCTTCCATTTTCACAAAATGAAACAGTCTGTTTAAATATCTCATTTCTACAAGTGAATTTACATTTAAAGTACAAAGTGCAAATACTATGTATTTTCGTTTTCGTGTTTTAATCGCTCTTTGGTGAGGGCGTCCCCGGGTGACTGGGGAGCGCCTGGGCGTGCGATGCTCATCCTTGCTTCCTCGGCTGGAAAAGAAGAGAAGGGACATGATCACTCATCCGTGGAGCCCAGGTTGCCTCCTGGTGGCAGCAATGTTCCGGAGCAGGCAGGGCGCTGGTGCCGGGCGGCCAGAGCGACTAAGGGACCACAGAGCCTTCCAGACACCAGCGGCTCCCTGACCCTCCCCCACAAAGTGATCAGGAAGAGCAGAAAACATCCGACAGTCAAAAAATAACACTCGGGGGACCAGCAGTTAGCGTAATGGCTATGCCACTGGACTCCCACGTAGTCAACCACAGTTCGTGTCCCGGACCTGGTGGCTTAAAACTCATGCCGGGTGCGTGTGCATGCATGCCCAAGATCCCGAGAGGAGAATGGAGAAGGGATTGCGGTGTGGCCATCCCCCCGGGGGGTGATTTTTCACTTTCTGTCTCTCTGTCTCTCTCTCTCTCTCTCTGTCTGGCGAGCGCACGTGCCCTATAGCAAAAAATCTCTCAAAAAACAAAACAAAACAAAACAAAACACTCGGAACTGCAGGTGGCATGGTGGTTAAGGCATCAGACTCCCACATGGCTGACTGCGGATCGAGTCCCAGACCTGGCGGCTTGCTTTCTCACTTTCTCTCTCTCTGGTGAATACACATGTCCTACAGCAAATCAAAAAATGATAATGATAAACGAAAAAAATTAAGAAGTAGCATTTACTTCAAATGCTGTCCATGAATGACACGTTTTGTGTGCCAGACTCCTTGTCTCCCGATTCACCGGACGAAAGCCACTGGCATCGAATCGATGCCTTGACTCGGGGAAGCCATGGTCGCTGTTTCCATGCTGCCCCCTCCACCTGCGTTCGCTGAGGCAGATGGAGCCGGAAGCCTGCTGGCACGCGGCCGTGTCACTTGCGCCGCAGTCTCCGGGCCGTCCCCGCCGTCCCGTCTCCCCCACCCACAGGCAGAAGTGGATCCTGCTTGTGTACTCTTTGAGCGCCTTCTGGGCTGGCTGTCCCCGGACAAAGCTGTGAGGTGCAGTGGGGAGGGAGAGCCTCCCCCTCCCCTGAGCAGTAAGTCTAACGAGCTGTGGGCAGAAGCCGTCATCCTTTCCAGCGGCTTGAGGCAGTAAGAACAGCTGGAGAGTGCTCGGACATGTCGCCCACGACACGCACGCGGCCCGCTCACGGCACAGCACGCGCGGCCCCACTCCCTGATGAAACCTCAGCTTCCGGCACCCCCCTTTCACCCCTGCATTGAATACTGGCCCACGGCTATGTACGCAGTGGGAGCTTTGGAAGCTGCTGCTTCGTTCTTCGCGGGTTATTTACAGTCTACTCGCAGCCAGGTGCAGGCCAGCGCCGGCGTCACCCAGAGCCCCAGCTTTAGCCCCGCTGCTGCAGCCAGGCGTGGAGGCCGCACCTCCTGGGTGCTGTGAACGGGCTGGAGGAGACACTCCAGTGTTCCTGGGAAGAGCTGGAGCGCGGCCGGTGTGCTAAGTGCTCCCAACGCGGGCAGCCGTGTGACAGCCCTTGCCGCCCAACGACGCGCTCGCTGGGTGCCTTGGAGCGCAGCGGGGGGTTGCGCTCAGACAGCACTGCCGGGAGGTGAAGGTGGCGTGTGGTGGGCTTAAGAGCTGAGGCCGTAAGCAAAGGGAAGCATCGCATGTCCCTGACGGGACGGGCTGAACCGTGTCTGCCGTGTGCGCCTATCTCCACTCCCACCTGCAACAGGGAACTCGCCAGAGGTGTCGGCCTGAGCCCCGAATGGGGCAGGCAAGTGGCAGGTTAGGGCCGGGGAGGGGCGGATGCCTGGCTCTGGGGCAGGAGGGGGAGCCCGCTCATGTCTGTCCTCGGGGAAGGGCTGTCCGTTTCTGACAGGCTGTGGCAGGGGCGCAGGAGAG